AAGTTTTTAAACTTTTTTGTCGTCTGGTTGGCTGACTATTAGTGTCCCATTAGTGTTGTTGATCTCAGAACCAATTTTTTATAGCTTCAAATTGTACTCTTTGGTATACCTGTAGCAAGTCCTGGACCAATAAAATCTATCTCTGAAGTTATCCTTACATATTCCTTAATATCACAAGATTTGGGAGGTCTGATCTGGATTGGACTTACTAGAAGTAGTAAGTCTAATCTAGGTTAGACTTACTAGTAAGTCTAAACGGGGTTAGACTTACTTAATTATTACTTATTAACTAATACCTGTAGCAAGTTCCTGGACCAATAAAATCTATCTCTGAAGTTATCCTTACACATTCCTTAATATCACAAGATTTGGGAAGTCTGATCTGGATTGGACTTACTAGAAGTAGTAAGTCTAATCTAGGTTAGACTTACTAGTAAGTCTAAACGGGGTTAGACTTACTTAATTATTACTTATTAACTAATAATACCTGTAGCAAGTCCTGGATCAATAAAATCTATCTCTAAAGTTATCCTTACACATTCCTTAATATCACAAGATTTGGGAAGTCTGATCTGGTTTGGACTTACTAGAAGTAGTAAGTCTAATCTAGGTTAGACTTACTAGTAAGTCTAAACGGGGTTAGACTTACTTAATGACAATATTTCTATTTTTTTTGTTTGGCCTATACTACAGGACGTGTAGTCTTCACTCCACACGATATTTTAAAATTTAAAATTAAGAATACATAAATTTTATTAATTTCTCGAAATCAAAATAATAACAAGGATCTATAATGGTAATATCAAAGAACTACTGTAAAATATTACAAATGTTCCGGCTATAACAATAATAATTTTCGTTGATATCTGATTATTTCAGGTAAGGGTAACAATATTAGTGCCAGACTATCACCAAGTGGATACGTAAATGGTAGTAATACAACTCCTAAAACATCGAATGGTATAAAAACAACGCGGACCATTACCTGGACCAAAGACACCATACTTAACGAAAAAATGTCGTTCACGATGAGAAGAGAGATAGACAAGGCGAGAGAAGAAACTGATCTCATCAACCAACTAAGAAACGTAAGTCTGTTCTTCAAATTTTGCATAGACGTGTCTATTAAAACCATTAATGTTTGACTAACATTAACGACAACGAAGTAACAGAGCTTAACTTTATTTTTATTTGATTAGATTATCGAAACCAGACTGAAGATGGCGCTTCCAGAGGACCTAGCTTCAGCGTTGACAGATGGCGTCGTGTTATGTCATTTGGCCAATCATATTAAGCCTAGATCGGTAGCGAGCATACACGTTCCGTCTCCAGCAGTTGTAAGAAATTTTATATTTTCGAAAGTATATAATATTAATATATTTTTTTCTAGCCTAAATTAACAATGGCCAGGTGTCGAAGGAATGTAGACAATTTCATTGAAGCCTGTCGCAAAATTGGTGTAGATGAGGTAAGTCAGCACTTTAAGTGTTTAATGTGTTATAATTTTTGTTAAAGCTATGTTTAAATTTTATTAGTGTGCATTATTTTGATTAAATTTATCAAAAATACAATGACTTAATTTTTAAAAAAGTACAATTTATTTTATTGGATTTTAGAAAAAAATATAGATATTTTTTAAGCATTATGTCAGTTTTCAATAGATACTTAATATATTGAACACTAACATGCATGATAGTGTAGACTAAATTTACTCTATTAGACTGAATTATTTTGAATTTTAAAGATATTTTAGTACTTTTTGTTTTGTCTGCTTTATTTTTATACATTTTATGAATTATTTTCTGATATTTTATTATGAATTTACTCTTATTGACGGTCTGTGTTAGTGTTAGTAGGTGGACGCTTTAAAGATATTTCATATACATATATGAGTTTTATCCTGCATGACTAACCAACTATTTTTGACTAATAACAATTTTCCGCTTCATGCCTTACACTAACCTAATTAAATTAAGAACATTACTTATAATTACATTGTTTTATTCATTCTTTTCTTCTGATTTATCTTCAGTTACAAAGAAAACTATCTTATCGGTAAAAATAATAGTAATAGATGATTTGGAGTTCGAAAAACCATAGTTTTTGTTATATATCATAAATTTAAACAGTTAATATATTTAGTATATTGTGTACCGAAGAAAATTGAAAATAAAAGGACTTTTTTGGACCTCTGTGGCGGATTCATTTCTTCAAAAAAGTTGTATGGGTATTTTGCGACTGTAAGAAAATCTACAAAATAATATAATTATGTTTTGCATTAACGCAGCACTGTTTACAAAAAATAACTATTTTATTTTGTAGATTTTTTTACAGTGGCGAAATACCCATAGTAGACTTTTTTGAAGATATGCCTTGTGACTGAATTAAAAAGATGTCATAATGGGTGCGGAATTCTCATATCTGTTGAAGCTTTACTATGTTTATTATTACTTGAGATGAACAATGACATCTCTCTGTGATTCATTTGAATTTTTTATTAAATATTTTTAAATGGCATCCTCGGTATTTTTTTGACTTTGTTCGATAGAAAATGACACTGAATAGAATGACATATCATATGTCAACTTCGCATATTTAGGTTTATTTGAAATTGTAACATGTGGTTCATAATGACAAATTGACTCGAAATACCAAGTGTGTGGTATCAAATTATTCGTAAAAAATGCTTTTCCCAAATATGCTAATGAGTCATCCTCGTTCCAAGGGAAAATTGAGATACAATTAAAAATACGATTTGGGCATCTTTTAACCGTCCAGGACAAGGCACTAAAAACATTACACGATCAAATCTATTTTTCTAAAGCTCCTTGATAAAAAAATTGGTAAATTCATATAAAATTAATGTTGGCACTAATTTTCTATCAATGGTTTTTAAAGCGAATATATCAAAAGTTGCCATATGATATGTCATTCTATTCAGAATGTCATTTTCTATTAATGTAAAAAAATACCGAGGGTGTCATTTAAAATTCAAGAGTTGTAGTCGTTTCCGGTGAAACCGGAAGCGACCGAAAACAATTGAATACGTCAATCAATCCTAATTTATGTCATATACTAACGTACCAAATCTTTTTTTTTTGTGTTGAGCCACTTTTGAGACGCACCCGGTATATTTTCAAGGTCATAAGATTTGGGACATTTACTTCAAAGGGGTTTATATGCTTTTTTACTCACGATCATTTAACACTGTCAAAAACTTCGACTATAGACATAGTAAAGTGCGAACAGAAATGTAATTTCTGCACCTACTGTAACGTTGGTTCATTATTTGATACGATACATTGATTGTAAAATATCATGAATGAGATGAGAATACATCTAACTAGATTAATAAGCATATATGAAAGCAAAACTGTTTAAAAAAAGAAATCAGATTTATAATGAATTAGGCACTTTTCCAGAAGATATCACAACTTTTCTTGTAGTTTCATGTTAAGACTTATAGAGGCGCTAATGGTTTTCATAATGCGAACACTATATTAAGTTCAACATTTAAAGAAATGATAGCGCAATGCATTGAATATTTAAAGAAAAAGAGCATATAATCACCTAAATTGTACATGTTGTATTCATTTTCTTCTACAAATCTTTTTATTTTAAAAAAGTTCTACCTTAGTATTAGACTATTAACTCTCTTCCACTTCTCTGTCTCCATTCATAACACGTTATGGAACTGTCTTTTTAGCGTTACTCCTGCCAAAAACACTGACAGACAGTAAGAGTGAGACTGTGGTTGGTTGCAGGCGTTCCTGTGCACCACCCTTGACGTCACCGAGGGCCTAAACGGCAGAGGACTGTCTCGTTTGGTCGACACAGTCGAAGATCTGTGTAGAATAGAAGAAAAACAACGATTGGCTAAGAAATATACTGCAGAAGAATCGAAGCTCGATAAAAGTAACGTTAGGAAAGTGAGGGGGCCTCCTACGATGTGGGATACCGCAGTCTCACTCGTGCTTCTGTCAGTGTTCCTCGGCACTGTGGTGCTACTGATTCTGTTCCCACCGCCTAATTAAAAACAAACAGTATTTTCTCTAAGGAATTGGTTATTTTATAAAGGAAATTTTGATTTACGCACTCAATATAGTTAAAATTCAAGTCACGAAGTTGAATTTTGTATTCAGCTTTTACTTTCTTTATGGATTGATTTTAACTATATATATAATAATTTCAGTTAATCATGGTTTTTTGAGTAAGTATTGAAAGTTCTTAAAGCATGTACAGTCGTCGTACAACTTTACTTCGTTATTATTTATCTAATATCCGTTTTAGGGTATATCTGAGATCAGTTCATATTGGTTAAAAAATTTAAACTGCGTTCGGAAGTTACTAGTTGAGTGCGTTCCAACTTAACGTTGTCAAACATGTTTGGCAACGGATTTAAATTTTGTTTGACAGCACAACCGATTTTTAATTTTGAACTAATCGATATCTGTTAACAGTTGAATGATGGTTGTACAGAGTATACAAATAATGCGTGTAATAATAAATTAATATTCTGAGAATTAATTTTTGGTTTTGGAAGCTGTTTTACGTTAGTCAATAGTTTTATATTATTATAGTAAGTTATCATCTGTGGAAACAAGGCTTGATATATTCATTATATAAAATTAATGTAACAATTATATTGTGTGCGTAAATATACTTATGGCATTTAACTATTTATAAAAAAGTATTTAAGGACACATTCCATTTACAACCAAAATTTATTATTCAATTTTTATATTTTGTGTGATTTTTTAAATGTATTCTTTTTTGGAACAAATATTTTTAAAATCTTTCCACGTTCTTAAGTGTGGAGTAAACGTACCGTATGATCGAAAACACCGTCTAGTTGGCTTGGGAAATGATGATCAATGACATTTTCATTACAAATTGACATAGAAAATGACAGCGATCTTCGCTTCATAGCCATCGCTGACACCGTTTTTTTCGATCATATTGTATGTATATATTTATATCTATACTATAATTTTGATTTGAATTGTTTTTAAAAATTATAATTAATTATAGGTCTTTATACCTACATAATGATCTGTCAATCAGTATATTGACGAAAAAAATTGGTGCAGAATTAATATAGTAAGAAAATCATATAAAAAAAGTGTTTTAAGCATTTTTCCAAATTTTTGTGAATAATTATACAGGATGTAAATGAAAAAATATTTTTGAAAACGAAGGAACATGTTTAATGAAGTGAATAAACTTATAATTTTTTTTAATCATTTAAATCCTGAATATTATCAATCTATTATAAATCAGTTTAAATTAAATCCAGTGATTATAATTATAATTCAGTGTGTTGTGCCAAAGGCAGATACTATCTAAAATTGCAACATTGGTTGTACTTAAATATTGTATTATTTTCGCTTTAAATGCTTCGCGAAGTTGTGATTAGTTGGTTGCTTTACGATAACGTTACTATTAGTGCCTCAAAAGTATTTCTAACCTTAAATCATTTTCTAAAATTTTCTTAGGTGCTACAACTAAAATTAATTAAGCTTTAGAGATTCAAAACTAATATTGTAAGCGTAGATTTTCGTTTAAAATGTAAAAGATAACGAGAAATAACAAAAACCTAACCTCTCTCAGTGCCTACGTAATAGATAGGTTTAATTAAAGTTGATTTTTCAAGGTGCTAAATAAATAAAGAGGGTGATTTTGATAAATGCTATTGCTTGGTTACAAACATAAAGACAATAGCCATCTTATATTAGGTCTTGTAAATTTTATATGTGGCCTATGATTAATAAGTTTTATATTTAGAGTATGCGTATTAGATCTGTTTAATTACATAATGCTGTACTAATAATGCCTTTAATTGCATTTTTTATGTTAACCAAGTTTTACATGTCTAGCTTATGTTTTACTATGTAAACCATTCACTCTTTTGAACATTGCCTTATTCTAACTTATTATCAAAATTACCTAATGATATAATAAAGATACATTTCGAAAAAAAAAACTGCATCAGAGTTGGCTTGGAAATAAAGATCGCTGTCATTTTATGTAGTTAATGCCATCGATCGTCATTTCCAAGCCAACTAAAACTGAATTAACCCAAGAGTGAGTTTTGTCATTCTCTAACATATAAAATTTATTTCTCATATATATTAGCTTTTAAATTATATATTAGACATATCTTTCAAAATCTTTCAAAATTTATAGTGATAAAGGACATTGGTACGTTTTCATGGAAACTAAATTTGAAATATTTTTTGTTCTCCTCGGTCCTACATTTGTCAAACAAAATACTAAAAACCTACCATATGGAAATATAATAAACCAAAATTAAACTAGCGTATAAGTGAGACATATTATTGTCAAAATATGTGACCTCAAGGTCAAAAATTAGGAACACATACGTCAAAGGAGCCGACTGTACTGTCGCTTCTATATAGCTAAGGTAGTTGTGTTATTGATTTAGATATTTTAGTTTCCATGAAAATTTAGTAATTAAGTAATTTAATACGTACGGCAAAACAAACAATTTAGGTGTATTTTTGTATTATACACATTAATTAAGCTTAATATTCGCATATAAGTGTAATATTTAAGAATCTCTTGTTTATTTTAAGCTGTTCTAGTCATTATACTAACATTTTCAGTATTATTAGAAAAACAAAGACTGGCG